CTGAAGGGAGCGGGGCAACATGGCGGCGGAGCTTGAGGGGAGGGTGTTGTGAGGGATGAGCTCCGGCTGGCGGGTGTGAGGACAGGGAGCCATCGCCTCAGTACGTGGGCGTCTGGGGTGAGATGGGCACCGCCACACCTCCCGAGGGGCCGAATTGGAGTTGGGAGAGGTGTAAGCATGCGCTGGGGCAGCGCCGTTTCGTCGGGGTGATGGCTCCCATGGGAGAGCCTCCGCCACGGGGTAGTCACATCGGCTCGTTTGCCTTGGCTCTGGCCAGATTTGTCCTCATTCTCCTGAGAGCCTGGTCAGATGGGGTTGCTAAACCCTGCTGGGAAAGTCCCATGGGCAAGTCAGTTAGGAGCCAGCAAATAGAAGTGTGTGGCTGTACTTGGACGCATCGTGTCAAGGCCACACTGCCCCTGAAGGAGATGGTACCAGCTCTGCACCAGCCTCTGCACCAGCCTCTGCACACAGAGCCGGGCTGGGGAGTTGACCTGAAATGTTAACCTGAAAAACTGGTTGTCGGGTAACTCACTTCATTGTTCTGATCATCATGCAACTATACAACCAGCCGTGTTCCACGGGGAACCAGATCAATGCCAGAGGGAAGTGGCATAGGGTTGGAAAGGATTGTTTTCGCAGGGCAGGGAGGCAGGACTGTTTCTTTTGGCAGCAATTTCAGCTTGAAGAGTTTGTGTAACTACAGCCTCATGTTTGACTCAAGCTAATCTAGGACTGATCTCCAACTGTCATTCAGGGCTGGACCTCTCTTCTGTCTTCAGGTAGGTATTTCCATTACTTCCCTTGCATCAGTTCTAGTAATCATGCAACCAAAGGGTGAGTCAGATCCACTTGAAAACTAACACACACAATAAATGATGGGTTCTCAGGTAAGCAAACTGTTGATCAGCAACCAGGTTGATCCAACTCATCACAGAATTACTAGAAAATAAGGAAGGAGTTGGGAATGTGCAACGAGGGAAAGGCAAGCAACGCAGAGATCATCTTATATTTAACAATAAAAACACACTTTCAAGGTATAGTTGTGCTATAGCTGGCTGCTACCAAAGGGATTGTCCTGCGCTCTTCTTTCCTGACTGTGACTACCTGCTGCTGCTACTTCCTTCCCCAGCAGCAGTGGTCATCTGACCTCATGAGAGCCATTTCTGAAAGATAAATAAATAGAGAATTAAACTCTCTGAAAATGTGAAATAAGTTGAGTTAAATGAAGAAACCTTGACTATGTAAGGGAGGGGACAGGAACGCACAGCAGAGCCAGAAGGAACAGGACCTCTTTTTTCCACTAGATCAGCTCAACCACAGAAATCCATTCATACTCCATGAGGTTAAAGGGATTTAGTTTCAAATCAATTTAGTTCAAAGGGATTTAGTTTGCAGCTAAATACTATCTTGCTGCTGACCATCAAAATATTAGTATGAGGTAGCTGAGAGACATGAAACAGCTGCAGATCTCCAGGTTAACTCATGCAGAATAGAGTATGTATGTGAGTGAATATCTGAACAAGTACAGATAATCAAACTTCCAAAGGGCCAGGTATTGAAGCCTTGCTTGAAATTCTTAAGATAAAGCCAATCAATAATGACCAATAGGTCTTGTCAGCTCATCAACCAGACCTGCCAGATGGTATTGATGACCTCCTAAAAGCACATAAAGTAGGTGGGCAGACCTGCAGTTATTTTAAGAATTGTCTCAAGAGTGGTTCTTTCATGCGAAAATTTCATGAATGGACTTCCAGAGAGAAGGTCAGAATGTTTTTAGTTACCAAAAGAAGAGCAGGAAATGTAAGGATGTCTAAATAATAATAAAAATAATAATAATTATAATAATAATTATAATAATATTCAAAGCAGAGATGAATTTAACAGAAAGAAAAAAAAGTATTGCTCCAAGCAGGCACACTCAGTATTTCTTATTCATTATACAATGACAACATTGGATAGATCACTTTGAAGAACAAAGCAGGCAACTTTGGTAGAGGGACCGTGCGGAATGCAAATTATACTGAAACCACAGCAGGCCATCTGTCACTGATGGAATGAGTGTGATCCAAAGAATAAACAAAGTTAACAAGTACCTGGTTATCAGCAGTACATGATGGTGCAGAAAGTCAAAGAATTGATGTAGTGTTTAACATTTACCAAGAAACATCAATAAAAGCTGCTGAGAGATTCCACAGAGAATCCAAGACAAATATTCATTTGAAAAACACAGCTGCAAGTCACAAGAATGCTATTGTACAGCCCCATCAACAATGCTCATCAAATACTTGGTTGAAGAATGGGAAAAAAGAGATTACAGTGATAAGCCTTATGAAAAAATTCTCTGTGCCCCTTGTACATTCTTTTGTTTCAAGCTAACTAGAGATGATAGTTCTGAAATGATCCCATGAGGACACCCCAAGTTGTGGTGTTTTGTATGCACCACACAACCAATACACTGAAGTCAGTCAGAATCACTGCTGTATCACGCCTTGACTTCTCACAAATGTTTTGGCAAATTGGAAAGCAGACACGAGCAAAATTCAGGAACATTAATAAAATAGCGTGGTCCTTTGAGATTGATTTATGCAGAGCATAAATTGGTCCTGCAACTTTCTGGGATGTGGTATTAATAGTGCTTTTGCTGGCCATGAGGAAACTGCAGCCTTAGAATATATGCAATACAAGTAGAGTTAGCAACAAAACTTCACTATGCTTGAATTTGAATGCCATCTGTCACGCTTCCCGAAAAGTGCAACTGATATTAGTGATACTTTTAGCAGCTCTTCTGAGCCAAAAAAAAAAAGAAAAAAGAGGCTGGTGATTACACCCATATTCTGTCATGCAAACAGCATCTATTGTAGCGTGCACTGCCTGCCGATTGTGATGCAGGAATCAGGAGCCATCTCTGCAGTGTCTGTCAACTATAGTAGGTCTGTGAAATCCTGCTTGGAATTCTGACGCCAAAACCAATTTAGGCACTTAGTGTGTGACTGACTTGAGAGTCAAAAGAGTCAAAAGCTCTGCAACATGTCAAATTTTAACAAATTAGGAACGTGTGAGAATTAGTAACAGACAGAGGCATACAGAGATGTGTAAGCGACTCATCTGAACTAGTCAAACGGTGAGGAGAATGGCATGCAAGTTCCATTTAATATGGGGAGAAGAAAATTACTGAGTTGGAAATATGTTTCTAGTGACTTACATGGACTTTAAAGTACATCTGACTTGCTTTCATAATGAGAAAATATTGTTTATGGCATAGTTTCACAGCTCCTTATTTGCATTAAGAATCTCTTTTTAACCACTACATACGTTTAACACTAAATACATGAGATAATGCATCATGATCTGTATTACAAAGTGAAAGGGTTGTATCAAGTAAGTTTCTGCTGTGCTAGAATACATTGCTGCTTGTTTGTATTCTCATCCCTCCTCAAGAGCAAGGGCATGTGAAATGTTTTCATAGTTGGGAGGGTTGATTACTTCAAAATAAATGGATATTTTTAAAAACAAACATTTGGATTAAAGAAAGCAAGGTAAAAGAGATCTGCTTTGCAGCTGGGATTGGATGACGGTGAACTCTGTTGTGTCTTTGGGAGACTTAATTTTGCTGTTTGCAATCAGCTCTCTGTAGATTGTCTCCTGCACGGACTAACTTAACTCCATAGTGAAGAGTGCTGTTCTTGTCAACAACAGGCAACTTCTTATCTTGAAGCCGTAGCTGTACTGGAAATTGTGTTCTCTGAACATAAAACTGATATAATGAATTTAATTTAAATTCTATGGAAAGCCAGAGAGATTGGTTTGATATGCTGACAAATAGCTTTTGTTTCTAAGATGTGCTAAAGCGTTATTTACTTCTCAAAACTCCCTAAATATGGGAGACACCCATACATACAGTATTGCTGTAACCCAGCTGAGGAATGACACACCTGTGAATAAGTAAGGTCTGATTGTTGGCCAGCAGCAAGGACTGAGTTTCTTACAAAACTGGAATTTCTAGACAGTGATGCTTATCAGTGCTGCACTGTGAGAATGGAGTGCCATCGAGAAGGCCACGAACACTCTTAAACTGCAGTCTGCAACTTAGTCTTGTGTGTCTGTAACTTAAGCAACAAAAGATTCCATATGTAAAGGCTTCAAATTATTTTCTGTTCCATCAGAATCAGCTATTTCATTCAGCTAGTTTTCACTGGGAAGCTCGTGTTATCATGTTATGTTAATACATGGTTATCGATAAGTGTTGCAAGTCAGCCAAGCAACCTGTAGTTGGTATGAGCAACAGGTAGTTAACAATCATTCACGCAAGAAAAGTGGCTGCCATTGTGAGATTTCAGACTCCCTAAACAGAACAGGAAATAAGGAAAGCTGAGAAAGGTGTCCTTGGAAAGAACAGACTTTAACAGCCAAGGAAAGAGCTTTAGGCATTACCAGCCTGAAGCTAAGAAGTGAGTAAGTTCTAAAAGGTGACCAGAATTAAGAGCCTCTGAACATTCTTCACTTAAGAGAGGTATGTGCATGGATGTCTTAAATTTATTCAAGGTTCCTCTGTCTTCCCCAGATCATCCACCTATCTGATAGTGAGACCTTTCTCTTTTGCTTTGGTGTATTTCTCAAAGAGGAACTGAAAAGTTGTTAGCACATTCTGCATTCCCTTAGCACCTTTCTCCCATGAGGCAATATTATCTCAAACATCTTGCAGAGAGCTTCAGAAGAACGGCTGTCTGCTTTCTATCCAGTCAGAAGAGGAGATTCTCCGTCAGTGTCATAAGTGTAATTTCAGTTCCATGGCTGGAACTGGAATGGCTGTCTCCAAATTGTTTTACATGA